ATAGACGTCTCTCCAAAGATACACAAATGGTAGGAACATGAAAAGATGCTTAATCTCATAACGTAAATGGAAATCAAAATCACAATAATCATAATAGCATTTTATACCTACTAGGATGGCTATAATTTTTAAAAAGTATAGTAAACAAGAAGTTTGACAAAGATATAGAGAAATTGGAACACTGTTTTTCTGGTGAGGATATAAGATCATCAGAGCGTTAGATCATTTTGGTGGTTTCTCAAAAGAGTGAACATGGCGGGGCCACATGATGCAACAGTTATACTCCTGGGGAATGAAAATAATTGAAAGAACTAAGGCGCAGGGGTCAGATAGTGCAGCGGTGTCCACAGCAGCATCTTTTTCTTTCAGTGCCACTCCATCACTTTATTCAAATCTTAAGATAGTCTTTATTCTACATTTTTAGTATAAAAAACCCACAAGTTAAGTGCACCACTGTGTAGAGAGAGACATACAACGCTGAACTTCCATAACAGTCATTGGCACAGCCAAACAGCACAGTACAGAACATGAAAGTTAGATGAACTGAAATTGTAAGATAAAATAAAATCCAATTTCAGCAAGCAAAAATCAAAATAGTAAGGATCCCTGAACTATTCGTAACCCTGATGAGATTTCACTGGACTCACGTCACTTTGTAGTGAAGCACTCACAATATGACGCTATCAACCCCATTGAGGAATTCTTGGGAGCCACACAAGGGGCTGCCTCAGACACTGACAAAACAATGGTAACCAGGTTTCGATCTGAAAACTCCCCTTAGTCTGGCTCTCAAGTCATCAATCAGGCTTTTGAAATGCACCCTCCTCCTTGCCCCTCTTATGTTAAGCAAACTTGTTTATAGTACAGTTCGTATGATATCCTTTGTTCAAACAAAGCTCAGTTTTCCTGGCTCCAAAGCAAATTTGGGTTAGGTTCCTATATGCAAAGACGACCTACCAGAAGGGCCTAAAAGGCACCCTCCACTTAAGCCTGGGGAGATAAAAAAGAGGAAGTAATGGCATCTGTGCTTGGGGCACAGAGGGGACTCAGAGGATCCTTGTCGAAGACTAGTTAAAAGATGACAAGTGGGGAGAAGTGCAAGGGGAGAAGGAAATTAGTCTGACTGGCTTTCTGTCCTGCACCATTGATTCAATGGAGATGGGTAAAGGAAATGGAAGACTTGGGTGGAGGTGGGATGTGGGATGTGGGATGTGGGGCAAAGGATGGAAAGGAGAAGGCAGATGACTACTGAGCTTCATTTATAACAAGGAATATAAATCATAAAGACTTGAAGGAGATTAAAGACCAATCAGGATAATTTGGCAAGTTTAATTCTTAGGAAAATCAAAGTTGCCTCCAAACCTAATTTGATCTTTAATTACTAAAATCAAAAGACCAGTATGGTAGAGTTTTACCCCAGAGAATGAAAGGAAGATCCTTAGGGCTGCTTCACCCACATTCATTTTATGAATGGAAACCCCCCACCTCAAAATGCTTCAGAGAGGTGCTGCTACCATTACATGGTTCCTTATTAAATTTGACAAGTGCCTGAAAGTTTGGGCACCAGGAAGACACCACAACAACATGTGGCTAAACTGCAACTTTGGGTCAATATGAGTAAAGCAGTTACATTGTGAGATGTGCTGAAGGTGTGTGGTGTCTTTCCTGGCATAGAGGTGGCCTTGGTTCCTCACCAGAAGCATAGCCACCGTCTGAACTATCCATGAAGTTCCCCTTCATCTGAGTTACAAGGCCATTGGCTCCCTGCATGACCGCAAGCTGAGCAGCATTGGGAGGGCATCCAGGAGGTGGAGGAGGGGTGTTGCCAGCAGTAGCCCCAGCTCTAAATCTGGCACCTGCATCATAACCTCCTACCAGCACAGTTGAACCAAGTGGTTAGATGGAACCAACTGGATAATAAGCCTTAGAGATTATGGAACCTGAAGGCCCAATGGCCACAGACTGAGCCATGGGAAGATACAGAGAGGAGCCAGGAAATGCAGCTGACATGGTGGGACTGTGGCAGCCCCCGGGTTGCCATCGGTTCTGACGATGGAGCTCTGTGTAGACAGGCGGAACATCAGTAGAGGGTGGAGCCTGAGGAAGATGCAAGGTCTCAGGGTATATTGGATTCCCAGGAGGCTGTACAGGGTAGGTTGGCTGTGTTGGATGTTGACCTTTGCTGTTCATGGTGGCTGTGGGTCCAGTTCAGCTCAATGTCCAGCAACATCATTCTTTTTTTTTTTGAGACAGAGTATCGCTATGTCACCCTTGATAGAGTGCTGTGGCATCACAGCTCACAGCAACCTCAAACTCTTGGGCTTAAGTGGTTCTCTTGCTTCAGCCTCCCGAGCAGCTGGGATTACAGGCACCTACCACAATGCCTGGCTATTATTGGTTGCACTTGTCATTATTGTTCAGCAGGTCCAGGCCAGGCTTGAACCTACCAGCCTCAATATATGTGGCTGGCACCCTAGTCACTGGGCTACAGGCGCCAAGCCAACATGATTCTTAATAGCAAAATGTGGAAACAACACAAGTGTCCATCAACAGGCAAACGGCTAAACAAATTGATGTACATACATATAAAGGAAGATTCAGTCATCAGGAGGAATAACAGGTGATAGACCCTACAACCTTGAAAATATGCTTAGTGAAATCAGCCAGACACAGAAGAGGAAACACTGTGTGATTCTGCTTCTATTGGACACCTAGAATAGGCAAACTCATAAAGAGAGAAAGGAGAATAGAGGTTCTCAGGGGAGAAAGGGGAAATATTATGAAATGGCTACAGAGTTTTTTGTGAGTGGACAATGAAAATGTTTTGAGTATAAAGTGATGGTTTTGCAACGTTTGAAGGTATTTGATGCCACTGAATTGTATACTTACAAGTTGTTAAATACACATCATTGTCAGTCAATGTAAATGCGACCGACACAACACCCGGCTATTTTTTGTCACAGTTGCCACTGCTGTTTTAGCTGGCTAGGGCCAGGTTCGAACCCGCCACCCTCAGTATACGGGGCTGGTGCCCTACCCACTGAGCCACAGGCACCGCCCGAGCCATGGGGCTTTGAAAAGCTAGTGATTAAGGAAAGAATGAGGCCTTTTGGGGGGGGTGTAATTTACATATTAAAACTTGCTAAGAGATTGTGTCCTTTTATGATGGATTTTGGGGGGAAAGAACACATATTAGTTGAATGAATTGAGGAAGATGGAATGGGATAAAGAATTTAGAGGAAGAAAGAGTTAGGACTAGAATAAAAAGTCACTTGATTTTGGGTACCAAAGGAAATAAAGCAAATTATGAAAATAATAAATATTATGTTATGTATATTTTACTCCAATAAAAAATAAATACAATACTCATACACACAACATGGATGAACCTTGAAAGTATACCACGTGAAGGAAGCCAGACATAAAGGTCCACATATTATATGATTCCATTTATATGAAATTCTAGAATAAGCAAATCTGTAGTGACAAGAAGCAGACTTGTGGTTGCTTAAGGTTCAGGGAAGGGGGAGTGAGGGTTGACAGCTAAGGGGTAGGTAGTTTCTTTATGGGATGATTAAAATATTCTAAAATTGATTGTGGTGATAGTTGTATAACTTTGTAAATATACTAAAGGCCATTGAATTTTACAATTAAAATTAGCAAATGATACAGCATGTGATGTATGTCTCAACAAAACGATAATAAATAAGAATTATTCAAGAATGATTCAAGTTACTTAAAAATAAGACAACTAGGGCAGTGCCTGTGGCTCAAAGAAGTAGGGCACTGGCCCCATATACTGGAGGTAGTGGGTTCAAACCCAGCCCTGGCCAAAAAAACTGCACAAAAAAAAAAAAGACAACTAGACCAAAAAGAGGAGAAGGAGAATATAAAGAAGGTGAACAGGGAGAGAGAGACAGAAGGAATAGGAAGAAGAATAGAAAATGTTGTAATCAGAGGTTAACACAAAATGTTTATTTGCTTATGATATAATAAGCAAATCTATGTAGAAAAGTTGACTCTTCAGACACCCTCTTTGAATGTAGCTGAATGCAAGGTTAACACACTAAAATCTATAGCTAAATAATGTCTCCCAAAGATACCAAGCCCTCCTAATCCTTAGGACCTAATAAATGTCATTATATTTGGAGAAAGAGTCTTTGCAGATGAGGAGATTCAGAGGCAGCTTGAGATGCAGGAGGAGAATGTTCCATTGATGCCAAGGGATGAGATTGAGCAGTAGGGGGTGTCTTCCCTCTTATGGGCTATCAACAATCCACGGTAGATTAGGGCTACAGGATTTGGCAACTAAGAGATTGTATTAGTTGGCCTGGGCTTCCGTAACGAAGGCCAGGGGTGGCTAAACAACAGCACGCCTTTCGGCTGTGTCCTCACATGGAAGAGAGAGTAAGCTCTCAGTGTCCCTTCTTTTTTTTTTTTTTTTTTGAGACAGAGTCACCACCCTGTCCCCCTGGGCAGAGTGCCGTGGCATTACAGCTCACAGCAACCTCCAACTCCTGGGCTCCAGCGAGTCTCCTGCCTCCACCTCCCAAGTAGCTGGGACTACAGGCGCCTGCCACAACGCCCAGCTATTTTTTGGTTGCAGCCATCATTGTTGTTTGGCGGGTCCAGGCTGGGGATTCGAACCCGCCACCTTAGGTGTATGTGGCTGGCGCCTTAGCCGGTTGAGCTATAGGCGCTGAGCCTCAGTGTCTCTTCTTATGAGATCACTACTTTAATCACAGGGCACGACCCTCATTACCCCCACCTAATTTAATTATCTCCTAGGCCTTATCTTCAAATGCCATCACGTTGGAAGTTAGGGCTTCAGCATGTGAATTTGAGGGGAACACAATTCAGTCCACAGCAGAAATTGTTAATGACCTTGAGGAGCAGAAAGAGCAGAAACAGATGATAATGGGAGGGAGTAGGGGTGAGTAACCTTCTATGTTTTCAGCCCTTTGTGCCCGGAATAGAGTAAAAGCTGATATTTGTTAAGTAAGTGTTTGGGAGGCTTCTCTGAACTTTCACCTGCCCGCTCCCTAACCTAACACTTTCACCCTGCCGTGAGACTCTCCTGCATCCTGCCTCCAACTCCAACTCCTGGACTAACACTTTAAATTTCAGTCATTCTTGTGTCCTCCAGTGGAGTGGGCCGCCCGCCCCCTGAAGCTGCATTTCACACTGGAAGACAGAGTCAGAAAAACACGATAGTCAAAATCCACAGGATAACGAATGTGATCGCAGATCATAGGTCTCAAATTCCTGAATGCTTTGGGAAGAATATTTCAGGGATTACAAACAAAACAAGACCAGGAACTGAGTAGGTAACATAAATGAGAAGTCAGCTATGTTGAAGTCACCCTTGAGTGGTGGGGGCTGTGTTACACTGGCAGGCGTCCCCCAGGTCTGAATGGAACACAGCCTCAACTCAGTTCCACCTGACTGTCCCCATGAAAGATCATGGCCCAGAACTGCCAGATCTTCCTTTTTTCCACAGGAAGCCATACTCAGAGATTATTATGTAAAACTGCCCCGTTCTTAATGTTAGGAATTAATTCAAACTAGTTGTGGGGGTTCAACAAAGCACCCTGCCGTGAGACACTTGGACAGCCTTAGAACTCACAAGTTAAGAAGTGAAAAGCTCTACTTCTACTTCTACTTCTACATAGTCAGTGGTAAAGTTAGGAACCTCATTAATACCTGAGGGGTGAAAATAAAAATAAGCTTCCCCTAAAGGCTCACTAAATTCTCGGAAAATGTAACCAAAGTCAGAGACATCAGGCACACCCCTGTAGCCTCCATGTCCACGTCGGAACAGACCTTGCTGGGGAATGAGCCGAGGGTGAAGGCATCACCGGGCCATCCGGACCCAGGCTTTCACTGGGAGCAGAAGGTGAGGGGTGGGGTGCAGTGGGTGGGGAGAGTTAAGAAAAACAGACTGGGTTCTCCTTTCTCGACATCCCAAGGCTTCAGTTTCCTCTTACACAACAAGGGAGTTGAGCCGGAGACCTCTCTCTAGTCCCATCCACTCTGCTCCCCTCCTGGGACCCAGGGTCATTTTCTGAAGAGCAGAAGTGAGCAACACCTCCTGGACTTGACCAGTCAGCCTCTGAATGAGCATCTTGGAGGGGGGGAAGCAGTGTCCAAAATCCATCTTCATGACCAGTAAATGAAGCCCGGCAAAGGAGAAAGATAAGCAAATGAACTGCTGTGGTGGGTTTTGTTCACTCATCATCTCTTCCCTTCTCATTTTAATAATGAGAAGGAACAACAATGTGTGGAAAAATTCTTGCTCGGGAGGGTTAAATTGCACTCATTTCTTCATTCATTCAACCAATATTTCTTGAATGCCCACGTGGCCCAGCCCTGTGCTTGGCTTGCCGCCCCACAGCAAAAAGGCAGGCGTGCTCACGGCCTCCCAGGACAGGTCAGGCGCCAAGCAAACAAGCAAAATACACCCAATTAAGATCATAAAGATCTTTTAAAATAAATCATGAAGGAAAGTGGCAGGTGCTGTGATAGCTTGAGGAGATGAGCAGACAACCCTCTGTAAAGTTGGGAAACAGAGAAGGAGGGAGTGGTAAGAACTGGTCGGAGAAGGACATCCTAGGCGTAGGAAATAGCAAGTCACATTATCAGGTTGGAGGAGCCTGAGCGTGAGCAAGTCCCAGAAACTGACAAAAGGCCAAGTGGCCAGAGCTGACAAGGGTGAGACTGAGCCCGAGATGAGCAGGGAGGGAGCCAGGACACCAATGGAGTTTGGATTTTACTCCATGGGCAGTGGGATTTGAGAGTTGTTGAAGGGGGTGAAGTAGGAGACATATATCGGGGTTTTTTCCAAGATCCCTCTGGTTTCTTTGCATAGATCAGATTAGAGGAGGCAGGAGAAATCTGAGTAGGAGGCAGACAGGATTGTCCAGGCCAGAGATGATGGACGTGGAGAGAAGTAAAGGGACTCAGGGGACGTCTTTGACAGCACAGATTAGATGTGGGTGGTGCAGAAGGGGGAGGGGTCAAGGATGACCACTAGATTTACATATATGGGCACCAGTTACTCCAACAGGGAAGGCTGAACCCCCTAAAGACAATAAAATGTTCCATGTCACCGCTCTGCCTAAAACACATCCATAGCTTCTTAATGCTACTGAGACCAGAATACATATTACTCAGCTTGGAGTTTAAAGAGCTTTAGAGTTCGGGC